TGTGTGTGTGTGTGAGAACATTTGCAGTTGATTACATTTGACAATAGGAGGATGTGACAGTATGAAGTAAACTGCCCTTTGTTCTTATCAGTATCATGTTGAGGTAAACACGTCCTTCGGAGACAGTGTGCTGTGAGATTGTGTTTTAAACAAATTGTTGGAGAAAAGTAAATATCACTTTTTAATCTGTCTCACCCCCACCACATTCCTTTATTCTCAATAATAAAACCAACACCAACTCATCTGCTTCTCTCTACAGCACCATCCCTCTTTCTTTCCCCATGAATAAGGATTTCAAATAAGTGATTTTCTTTAGCGCGCTGACTGTGAATCAGCCATCTGTCTACACAAATACTGTATACAATCTGCCATGTTGTCTATATATGAAGGAGCTGCAAATAGTCTTTATTCTGACATAATGTAAGCCCTTAATGCGTCTTGTTTCATTTGAACAAGTGTCATTTCCTGGAGTCACATTATATTTTTGCCTTTGAAACACAAACTAATTTATGAAAATTATTATAATTAAACTATTTCATGTGGCTTGGATATCAACCACATGGATAAAATATGTCTTCTCACATATTCTACTACTAATGGCTATATAATGCTATCATTACAACTTTTATTGCTGCTCCCTTCATCTCGTGGCAGTCATTAATTTTCATATTTCTACTTATGTTAGACACTGTCTTTACAAATAATTGTTGGAAATATTGTTATTTGACTTCTGTCCATCCTGAGAGAGGAATCCCTCACATGCAGTGAGGTTTCTACTTTTCATCCCTGTTAATAGGTTTTTTCGTTGTTAGTTTTCCAATTTGATTGATCGAAAACTTGGAGAAATAAAAAAACTAAAGCAGACCGAACCACTCATGATTTGCCTGTAACGGAACCAAAACCAGGAGATTCTGATGGACAAAGACACAAGCTCTTCCACTAGTGGAGGATTTTCGCAAAGAGTTTTTCTTTTTACATGATTTTATTTTCACAGTCATGAACTGGGAAAATATGAATGCTGGGTGAGTTGGTTTGGAATGAACCTCATGTATGTTTTTATATTCATGTACTGATTCATCTAAAGCAGACAGGATGAGAAGTGCTCTTCAAGCAACACGTCATTTCACCTCTTAACTGCCTCAAAAATAAAATACAGCCTCTTATTCCTGTGTAGGTGTCTGTATTTCTCCTACTCTCTCCTTGATGGAGTCTGGATCTACATCTTCAGCCTCTAGGGCTTCTGATGGCCCTTGGTCGCTCGACATCAGCCTATTGTCCCTGTGAGTAATCCAGACATTTGGTGGCAGCACAAAGTCGCCAGTTAACAACTATCTCAAACACAATTGATCAGCAGATAACTTCATATACTAGGAAGCCTTGTTGTGTACATTGTCATATACATCTCTAAAAGCAGTGGGTGAAATAGGGCTTTTAAAATGCTTACTTAATAAAATAAAACACTCCTGAGAAGATGGTTATACTTAAAGGCACAGTGTATAGAATTTTGTAATATCTAGTGTTGAAATTTGCATGTTGCAGCTCACTTCACCTCACCCTCTCCTTCCAAACATGAAAGATAACCTGTGGTAGCCTTCAGTTGTCATAAAAACTCAAAAGGTGTTTAGTTTGTCCAGGCTGGACTAATGTAAAAAACATGGTGGCCTCCGTAGAGAGGGTCCCTTCGATCTAAATATAAAGTATTTAAATTCATACAATTTAGATAAAACAAACTAGTGAAAACATCATGAAGATTATTCTACATTAAACTTCTGCCAATAGTTCCCTTTCACCTAAATCTTACACACAGGACCTTTAAAGCTTGAGTGCAAAAATGACCAGTATAGTCTGTTATAGAAAATAAGACTTCCAGTTACTCAACCTTCATCTCACCTTTACTGTACTCTACTTTCAAAGCAGTGGCACTTGAATCGTGCATTTCACAAGCACGACGACATCCTGAGCTGTCATCATATTAGGGACACAGTAATGACTCATTAAGATTTTGCATATTCTACAGCTTCCTTCTGCAGGTCTATTAAAAGATGTAAGTTTTCAATATTACCAGTACCAAGGAATTGCTGGGTTAGCCATTTTACTCGGCACTTCCCTTTTCTATTTATTTCCTCTTTTTCGCCTCTTACCCAAAGTATCGAATTAATGAATTTATTTGTTTTACCCATGCACCTCATAGATGGCCCTCATTTTTATCTTAATTGACGAATACACTTTAAGCAAGAATGTGAATCTTACTGCACTTATTTTTGTGTTGACTTCCTTGTTTAAATTGCATTCAACCCAATGTGTGTAGAGATGTTCTAACAACATCAGAAATGGCTCCAATGCTGGCAGCAGCGAGTATAAGAATCTGTTTACCAATCAGTTGCAACGTGTTTGAAGTATATCAGTGTCACCCAGATAAAAATTCCTTTTCCTGAAATGTACTTCTTGTTAATGTATTAATTTGTGCTTTTTTTGAAACTGACATTTGTTATGGAAGTTTTCTGGAAGCTGGTAAAAAGAGAATTCCGGCAGCAGGTGATGTCTTACGCAGAAGATGTTAATGTAGACATGATGCATCAAGGACACCACAAGGTGGAACAATATACAAACACTAACAGAGTTACATGAGCAATTGTCTCCCCCAAGTCTGAAGATGTCTCCCACAGCCTCCCCATATATCTTCCTCTACTTGCATCACCCATTCTAACAGCACATCAATGAATGGCTAGAATTTCTGTCAATCACTATGTTACATGTAGGTGTTTGCATCCTATTGGATAATTAACCCTAAAGTAAGCATTCTTAAATCACATTGTGTCCTTACATCTTGCCACTGGTAAAATATGAAAAGAGTTGGAGTTGGTGAGAGTTAATGTTGGTGCCTCTTTAGCTAGGGCATCAGAAATAGATATGAAAGTCCCTGAGCGTACACTACGATGCACTGTGGGTTGGTCCTTTATCTATAACCTGACCTTTGGTACTGCTCGGAGAGAGAAGTATCTGTTGAACTAAACAGACCCCACTCGTTATGGTTATATACATAATATATAGTGGCATATACAGTAATGTGTCTCAACAACAGTAAAACTAGAAAATAAAAGATGTTTGACATTCATTCTCTGTGTATTTGTTTTTCAAGGGGTTTAACCTGAGTCTGGCCATTCAACAATAACAGCAATCATTACTTCCATACAGGGTTGATGGCATACAACAGTTAAAGTACAGTTAGGTTGTTATTATTTTTGAATGCACTGCTATCAGATCAGTACTCAGTATTGACCAATACACAAAGTCCAGGTATTGGGATTGGTATCAATTGGAATCTGTTTTTCCAATTTACTGACTACAGTTTGCTGACTTATCATGTGGTTACCCACACATGACTCATGTGGTTATACAGTCACACCGATGTTTTGTAGACATTTTCAAATCTGTTTACACACACACACACATACACACACATTCTAAATACAGATTTGCAGATCCAATGCGCACACTCACAACTTTCATTACACATTTGGAGATTCTTCTACACACGGACGCATAGAGACGCACATTTGTCAACAGTTTTGCTCCAATCATGGCCCCGTACCCAGTCTGAATGTACTGTTCCTCTGTGTCCTCCTCACTGTCTGCTCTCTCTCTCTCTGTGTGTGTGTGTGTGTGTGTGTGTGTGTGTGTGTGTGTGTGTGTGTGTGTACACTGAGCAGTGTGTAGTATCAGGTAAGATCAGGGTGAAGGTGCACAGAGGAGGGTGTGGTCAGCCTGCAGCACACACACGGTTATAAGGTGAAACTCCACTCCTGCAGAGCAACAGCACTCCACCGGTTCAACACCTGTCCACACAAAGCTAGACACACAACTGTTCAAATCATGACACACACACACACACACACACACACACACACATTTTGCCTGTCTGTCCAAACGCCGCTCCTCTGTAAACTCCCACTGAGGACTGAGGTTACTCACCCACCAGACGATGGCATAAGCGAACAGGAGGAATTTGAGGACGATGTAGGAGAACCTGTGGCAGTATCGTATCTCTTCGTTGTTGGACATGTTGTCAGACTGAGCTCAGTGGACTTCAGCTGCTTCCTGCTGCTTGCTGCCGCTGCTGAATAAGCACTTCCGCATTTGCTCCGTCACCACGGTCACCACACCTGGAAGCGCGCGACGGCCGGATGGAGGAATGATGGAGGTTTGTGGCCTGATGTCGAGTGTGTGTTGGAGCCATCACATGATTTGTTTTTGTGTTGGTTTAATCAAATGTACGATATCATGTGAGCGCTGGGTGGAGCATGTTCAGAGGGGGTGCACGTAGGTAAGTTTTATGACTGTGTCAGTGTGGCATGTGGTTACAATAAAGTTACTGACAATTGAAATATAGACAGCTTCTTATGTGACTTTTTTTAATTTAATTTAATTTAATATCGACATACAAAAAGAAAACACACAACAGCTGCAACGCAAGGTACAATGGGGTGCACAGTACAATGTCTCACAGTTAGTTATTGAATTCATGATCTTGAGGAATACATTTATATGGAAAAGGAGAAAACTCTTCACATACAGTTGCTCAGTGCCAGTTTCACTTGGTCTCATATACTCCATACGGAAGCCCATTTCCAGATTTGGTCCCAATTCAAAAGGTTAAATCACTTATCATATCAGCTACTCGTTCAATATACTAAGAGGATTGGAGAATTCAATTAACCATGTTTCTAGCGAGAAACATTCTGACTTACGAAATTTTTCAATTCAGCGAAATCATTCTATTAGCAGCCATGAAGGCTAGGCCTACTATTATTACCTGTGCAGCCCTATATCCTGACAAGCAAACCAGAGGACATGGGGAGAGATTTAGATTAATTTTCAGGAGATTGAACACTTCTGACCAAAAAGACTTGACTGTGGGTAAGTGCCATATGAATCAAGGTCCCCACTTGTCCACAACCATGCCAGCAGAAATCCGAGGAGCTTGGGTCTAATTCTTTTCATTCTGAAGGGTTTGATATAAGCTGTGGAGGATTGTGGGCCACACACACTGAAGAGACTGACATAGATGTCAAGAGAGTTTGTGGTGATAAGGGCTGACGCTGGTGTTGATGTGCTGGAAACAAAAACACATGATCTCCACAGCGGCATTTATACGTTACATCCTGCCTCTGCATGCTGCTCCACCCCTCACCTGACACTCTGGAGCTTTCTTGTTGGTATGGCATGACCCTGTGTATGTTTTTTATTTACTTGCTAATTCATCTAAAGTAGAATTTGGATAAGAAGTGCTCTTCAGGCAACACTTTACTGTCTCAGAAATAAAATACAGCCTTTTATTCCTGTGTCTGTGTTTCTGTCTCATTATACTTCATCCTTATACTTCATAAACCTTCTGGCCAATATGGCAGCATAAAAACAATCAAACAATTAATACTGAGTTCATTTTTCTCTTTGAATTGGGGTGGGGGTTTTCTTTAATAGAATGACATTTTCCTGATCTGGTTTCAGTCTGAAAATAATGATTAAGATTTACAAACAGGCAAATTTAATATAGGTTCCATTTGTCCAATGTTGTATAGCCATTAAATATCCTATCTCTAATTGATCAATTGTGTCCACACAGAACTGGTATCACAGACTTAAATAGCTTTCTAAAATATACTCTATGCCCATAACGTGTAATTTTGCCCCCTGGTGGTGAATTTTAATAGAGGCACAGAGAAACAGCCAATAAAACCGGTCAAAATGCCACAATGTGCACTTATTCAATGTCTGACCTCAACGCGTTTGAGAGGGTTGCATTTGATTGGAGTGCTGTTTATATAACATGTAGCTCAGATTCAAACAGTGTGCAAAGTGTTCATGAATATACAGCCATAAAAAAGACTTGTAATGATCCTGGCACAACCAAACAACAGCATCATTGGGCTGTTTATAGCCAGGGACCTCCCTTACTGTGTGCAGTGTCTCCATCTCCAGCCAGGAGCGTTTAAAGGGATTCTGAGACAAAAGGAACCTGGATGGCCAAACATTAAACCACCACCACCTCAGGTACATCACACACACATTTAGACATTGTAGTCTTCAACCTAACCTCTCTACTGTTCAGTCATTGAGTCATTGTTTTCACCCAGTTACTGCACTTATATCCTATAAACCATCAGCTCCTTCTCTTATCTTCTTCCAAAGGGAAAAGACCTTGGACTGACAACAACAGTGCAAAGAAAAATAGAGCAAACCAAAAGAGTTTCATGTTTCATTAGACATATTCTTATATCCTACCTTGCAAGACTGGTTTCCATTAACTTCGGCGATAATATATCTAATTTTTGTCTTTCCATTTTTCTGGAAGAGGCACCCAGTCAACTGACTATGTATGTCCAAAATATTGTGTGTGTTAAACTTTCAACCCAAGATATGGAGCAGTTTGAGTTCTTGCAGCCATTTGTTAGAGGAAGTTAGTTGTAGACAAGAAACTTCACCCCTTCCTCATCAGGCCATGGGTGGTCAGTCCTCACTGTATCCCCAGTCCTTTACAGCGCCTCAGGAGGCAGCATTACACCACCTTGGTAGAAACTTTGAATTCCCCTGCCTTTCTCCTTTTCTTTGTCTTTGCCCTTGCAGGTCAGTAAAGATTTGTGTGAATGTGAAAGTACACACATGCAGTGCATACTGTACACACACAACAGAAAAAAAAACAGACTGAGCTCAGCTGAACGAGATCAGACTACCTCTATCCACTCTTAGCTGTGCAAACACTTGTGAACACATAGGCCACATGCTGATTTCCCCAGAGAGGGAGGTTCACAGAGTAGGAGAGAGGAGACAAATAAATAGAGCACAAATGTAATGAACAACAGAAAAACAAGTTGGGTGAGAATAAAAGCAACAGAAAGTGCAAGAAAATATAAAACAGTAGGAAAGAGCTGTAATTTCGAGACTAACAGAGTGTTGCTCTTGAACCAGTTCCCCTGGCCGAGAGTCGGTATCTTTGGCTGTCGAAACATAAAGAACTGGTTTATGATTAAGCCCCGGCTCTGAAGTGGCCCTCCAGCTGTCATGGTGGAAGAGAAGTAATTATGCCGGGGGGATGCCACATTTGGACACAGAAAAGGCACAGACACAGAGCAGGTATTTCCTCGAAACCCTTTGCAAGTCAGTTGTGAAAGCACTGTTTGTCATCACTGTGACAGACCACAGGGTGTGATTCTTAAAGTGTCAATGAGAGAATTATCAGAGTCATCTATGTGAACGATGTAGACGTGGTACAGAGACCATCTACCAGCTGTGGAGCTGAAGGATTTGTCAATCAATACATAGAAATGACTGAGTGATGTCCTCAGTACTGAAACTTTGGCAACCCATTATTTTTTCTTTTTGTTTGAAGAAGTGTCTTCACTGGATGTTTTTGCAGGCATAGGCTTGCTAAAGGTTGGATAAGCATGGGATAGGGTAGGGTAAGATAAGGTAGGATATGGGTAGGATAGGTTAGGGTACACACATTACACATATCAACAGGACACATAGACACGTGGAGTTCAATCACATATAATTGCTGTTCACAGTGTTTTGTCATGATTCATGGCTTTAACTAACAGCACAGACACTAGCAGCTTCTCTAAATGTGTGACTGCCACTAACTGAAATCACCTAGCTGACTTGATAAGTCCCATTTTCATCCCTGCAATCAGTTCACATCTGTAAAAAAAACCTGCCTGTGGGAAACCTCTCAGTTCATTCAGATGTCAAAAATATGGCTTCACTGACCACCTCTCTGTGTCAGAGCTGTGAGTGCGATCGAAAGAGAAAGAATTGAGTAGGCCATAGATATCGCACTGATTCCGATTAGCATCAAGCACAACCTCAGAAACATCCACAGAGGCCTTCAGAGGTCTTGGAGGAGCTGGAAAAGTGGCTGTAAGAAAAAGAGAGACTCCACAGATCTCAAAGAAATAGATCATGACAGAGGCAGTTTCACAGGTAAGAGCCACAAAATGGTTCAGATTTCAAGGAGAGCTGGGAATCTGCAGATCTCATCACCTTTCTCTCATCACCTCACTAATTAAGTCTCATTCTCTCTTCATTTCCATCTTGTTTTAGACACAGTCATGCAAAACCAATTCACTTACATCCTCACATCTCTCTCCTTCAATATTCCATTTACTATTTTTCATTTCCTCACATTCTCTCTCTCTCCCCCCCCCCTCTCTCTCTCTCACACACACACACAAACACACACACACACACACACCAACAGTTATTTTTGCAGCATTTTATCACTGAAAACCATAGTGAGACCCACTCTCCTCTTCCTCTCTCTCCTTCTCTCTCTTTATTTCTCCCCCCTGTGTACGTGGGGTTGGCGCAGCTCCACGCGCACAGTCGCGTGCCTGTTTGTGCGTCTCCGTCACTCTCAGCAGCCTGTGCCATAATGAGCAAGTTACACATTCCAGGAGAGAGAGAGTGAATGTGCGCGTGTGTGAGGGAGGGAAAGAGAGCAGCGATGTCTTGATGGATTATTGGATGGACCTGGCTGTCCATGGCGCAGAAGAAGTCTGATATTCGGACATATGCTGCGGTGAATTGGACAAACTGACTGACTGTGAATAAGAGGTAAGAACAGTGAAGTAGTGATATTGTCTTATTCCTGTGAGATAGTGTCCTCTGGGTTCTCCAAGGTATGGATTTATCACTTGTGCCATACTGTTGCGCTCACTGTGCAGCCAAACCGCCCTGTTGTTGTGAGTGTGCCAAATGCCTGGACTGTGCGCACGTTGGGTTAAAAAAATCATTTTTGCTTTAATATCAGTCATTAACGCTACTTTTGAACAAACACCAACCAAAAACAAGTGTGGCGAGCTTTATTTGATGTACTAGGAAAGTGTTTATTGAAACTGCCACATGCAAGTGTAAGATTAGGTTATCTGAATACTGTGATACTTGCCACAAGAGCGATATGATGCATGATTATTAACTTGAGTCTGCTGATGCTTAGAGTGCCAAATGCCTTAACAGAGAAAATGAATACCTGACCTCAAATCTGAAATGCAGGCTTGAAGAACGTTCAAATAAAACTGAATTAAAGCAACTCTTATATGCAACCCAAAAAGACAAATGTTCCATTTCACATAGGTCTATGTCGCTTAAAGGTTTTATCTGTCAATTTCTTTGCAGGGGGGAAATACACGCCACATCTTTATACATACGTCTCCCTAAGCAGCATATACATCCACCAGTCTCATTACGCATGACGCACGAATTACATCCATTTATATAGAAAGTTTCTATCAGCAGGTGAACAGGGAGGAAATATGGACGTCGACAGTCTTATTCAACACATTGAACGAGACACGGAGGCCACTTCATTTCCCTTATCAGTCACCGCTGACTGGAGGGAGGAAGGAAACGAGACGACTGGGAATCAGTTCCAACAGCCAGACTGGCAGGTGAGAGGAGCACACAGGGACCACAAGTCTCAGGGTTGGATATAGTCCTCAAACATTTAAAATGTAAATAGTCTGTTGTGTGTAATCTAGCTGTGACATAATGGGAAGAGGTGAAATGAATCAAATTAAAATACAATGAAGTCCACTTTAATATTTGAATGGTCAGTGTCTTTGATGAATGAATTCCTGAAGAAAAAAAACACGTGATTTGTCCTAAAACAAAACCAGTGATTCCAAATCCCCAATCTCCAATGTTGGACTATTATCTTATTAATCTTAATTCAGAGTTATTTTTTTATTGTCCTGCTGCCCTTCCCTGTCCTCCGCTCCTCTCCTCTTTAGAAGCATTTTCTTTTATTGTGGTTTCTTAAGGAAAAAAACTAACCTTGTTTGGTTTTTTGCATTTGGTGGATGATGTGAAAAAAGGTTTTGTATGTTTCCGGTAATGCACAATGAATGAATTTAGAAAACCAAAACCTCTCCCCTCCTTTCCTCTCCCCTCCTCTCATCTCCTCTCTCAGGTGGCTCTGTGGGCTATAGCCTACACCCTGATCATCCTGGTGTCCATTACTGGAAATGTCACTGTCATCTGGATTATCCTCGCTCACCGACGCATGAGGACTGTAACCAACTACTTCATCGTCAACCTGGCCTTCTCTGACGTCTCCATGGCAATCTTCAACACCCTTTTTAACTTTGTCTATGCACTTCACAACGACTGGTACTTTGGTTTGGGCTACTGCCGATTTCAGAACTTCTTCCCCATCACTGCAATGTTTTCATCAATATACTCCATGGCTGCCATCGCGGTAGACAGGTAAGAAAGATTGTGCAAATACCGTAATAAATACAACCTTAACTATTAAATGTGTCTCAAATAGAATGACATTACCATTAAACTGGGACTCTTACATCCAGATTGACATGAAAACGAGCCTGTCGGCACCTACAGCTGTTTTAAAGCAGCCATTAGACACCAATGGAATGACTTATCTTCCGGTCCTTCAACACCCCATTTAGCAGCTGCATTATGCAAATGGTCAAAAGGGGATGAATGAGTAGATACTCAACAGTCAACTCAGCAGTACGGAAAACAAGCCATATCAACAAATAACCCATTTAACTATACTACATTACTATCTGTGCTGCACCATCTGACATATTTTGGTGCTGCTCTGTCTGTGGATTTCAATTATAGAGTGCACTGTAAATGTGGTTTCAATAATATGTGATCGGTTTGACGTTTAATTAAAAATTAAACAGCACCTCCCTGTGTATTAGCCAGTCATTCAGACACTCCAGCTTTACTTGAAAGCATCATCGGCTGCAGGAACTGTTCCCCCGATACAGACGAAAACTAAGCATGTATGAGATATGGGTCACCAGGCAGCACAGATGTCATGAATGCCCAGTGGAGCTTGAAGTTTCAGTCTGTAACATGGGACACAGTTACCACTTCACAGTCAGACTTAAACGATCTGATGGCACAAGTTCCATCAGCTCAATAATATGTTTCATTTTAGAGGCTGTTACATTGGACAGCAGGTATTTAAACACACACAAAGAAAACGTAAAGTTAAAATATTTCAGTCCAGCAGTAATTATTATTTTTTCAGACACAAACTGAACATTTTAAGAGGGATGTTGTATGAGGCTGCATTTCAAGCCAACAATGGATTCTTCACTGTGGTGCAATTGTCCCCGGAGAGAGAGTTTCATTAGATGATCGTATGATTCTGTGTTCCTGACAGATGTTGTGGCCCACTGTGGCTCAGGGTAGGTGTAGTGATGAATGAGCTGCGACCTGCAGGAATCAGACCAGGTGTGAAATCTGCTCACAACGCGATAATTCAACCTCATTACTTTCCAGATGGTGGAGTCCTCACTTTATGTGTCTTTATTGTGCTTTAGCGTGTCGTCAGCTGCAGCAGCAACTGATTCAATCATGCAATAAATAGATAAACTGTGATACATGATCCACATTCATTAAGAGCCACGAGGGGTGTTAAATGTAGAGTGTGTAGAATCTTGTGATATGTAGTGTTGAAATTGCATGTTGCAGCTGAACACTCCTCACCTCACCCTCTCCTTCCAAACAAAAACTCAAAAGGTTTTAGTTTGTCCAGTCTGGACTTATGTTAAAAACATGACAGCCTCCATAGAGAGGGTCCCCTCAATGTAAATATAAAGTATTTGAATATAAAGGGCCTTTTCTAAAGGTAAAGAAAACTACAATTCATACAATTTAGATGAAACGAACTAGAGAAAACATCATGAGGATTATTCTACATTTAATTTCTGCCAATAGTTCCCTTTCACCTAAATCTTACACACTGGACACACTTTAAGTGCTGCTGCAGCATCAACAACAACCCTGAAGGGGGAGTTTGTGTTTCCAGAAGTGAGTCTGATGTGACAGGTGCCAATGGAAACACAGGGAGGTCAATGGAAGTGAGAGAGAAAAAGAGAAGTGAGCGATAATGCTCATGTGATACAATGTTTTTCTTGGTGACAGATTGTTTTATTTATGGTTCATTATTTCTCATGCATGGTTCAGAGATTGCTAAATAATTAAAACCTCCCACTCTCTTTAGGTGTTCTAACCAATAATAAGCAATAACAGCCGATAACAGTGCTGTAACAAATTGGAATTTCATCTTTAATAAAAATCATTCGATGCAAGATCACACTATGATTATCCATAGAAGTAAAAATGAGAAAATAGAGCAACAGCAGTTCAAATGTATTCATGCTGTCAGTCCTAAATTATTCACATGAATGATTCATAGTCATAGTTGAATCACTTGACTATAATGGTGATAACACTGAGCAATGGTGCCAAGCAAATGACTTGAATGACTTTATATAAAATTCACCATGAGTCATTATCATTATTTCACTTAACTAGCACCAAGGTTTATAGAACATAGGACATCATTTCATCTCAACTTTATCTCAACTTCTTGTGAATCAGATGTGTAAATATGGAAGCTATGATGACCCAAGATTATTTATATTTTATGTAAATGATCAATGAGTCTTTGCTTTTGTTAATATCAGTTTCATTATTCAGTCTCTTCCTCTTGAAAGTTAATTCACAAAAATAATTTCTCAGAATCTATAAAAAATCTCTATGATAAATATTCAAGATGTGTTTTAAGTTTGATGACAAAGATCAGTTTCAAATCGTTCTTTCATTGAGTTGTTTCTATTGTAGAGATATGATAGAGAGAAAGATGTGCAGAGAATAAATCTTTTTAATTTCTAATCAAATGCAGATTTATGCATGAATATGTCTCTGCTTGTTGCCCATTAGATTCTTCAAGTGCCTTGAAACAATCTACTTTGAATTAAAGACAAAAGAGCATCCATACATCATTAGTTTGAATTACAAACATTATTTATTCATATTTATGTAATTGCAAAGCTTATTAGTTTGAGCAAATCATTTTTTTAATGCACAACATCAAATGTAACACATTGAAATAACTTTAAATTGCAATTAGTGAAAATATTAGATTTTCGTGTATTGACTCAGCGTGGAAAAGAAATCTTTTTACCACGTGAGACATAGATTTCCAAGCAGACAAAAGGTGTTAGGTTCACACTTTACATCTATTCCTGTGAGTTACATCTGATATCTAACTGTGTCTGCAGACAAAGATGCATAAACATGTACACAAATAAACCCTTCATTGCTTTCTCAGGTACATGGCCATCATCCACCCTCTGAAGCCCCGCCTCTCCTCCACCTCCACAAAGGTCGTGATCGCTCTGATTTGGATCGTGGCGATTTCATTGGCCTTCCCTCAGTGCTACTACAGCGTGACCAGATTTTATTACCCCAGGACCGTGTGCATGGTCAACTGGCCTGATGATTACGGAGGAAAACATCAACTGAGGTGAATAGACAAGATTAATCGAACAAAACAAAAGTGGGATGGTGACATTTACATCAAGGCAGATCTATAACATGAAATAACAAGCGGTCAATTTTTCCCACATACATATATACATCATATATCTGCTGGTAAGTGAACACACACACTATACATACTGTCTATGTGATATCATACCTTTTATTTATATATGTATATACTTACTGAAATGGCATTCATAACATAACACCTGCAAATCAGTGTACAGCAGGATTTTATAATTATTAACCTGTCAGCCTTCTTATAGGAGAGCACAGTTATTACATTTGAATGGTTCATGTCCTCTAGTTTGTCTCTTTAGCTCTCTTTAGCTGTATCAGTAGACCAGAAACATCTGGATCATCATCATAAACTGGCATTTGCATTTGTAATTACAGGCTAATTTCACTTCCTTCCCCCTTCTTTATATGGAGTTATGTCTGCACCTGTAAAGTCAGATCAAGTCAGTACACGGAGTGGGTTGTTCTTTCATCAGACGACACTTGTTAACCACTCACACAAAATGTGGGCAAGACTCAAGAGTCAACGTATGCAGGATTAATAGAAAATCCAATGATGAAATGGAAATCACACAAGTACAGAAAGATTCCACACAGGTGTGATTGTCCAAAGTGCATTACATATTAAAAACATAACCCCTACATAATGCACCCGCCTGACAAGACGAGAATAGGACAATTGTGAAGTATGGGGAACATTTTTCTTGAAAAATGAATAAAAACAGAAATGAAAAGTAGGATATTAGGAGGAAAACAATTCAGAAAATAAAAATAAGAGTAGAAGGATCTTTATGTTCCTGATGATCAGTGAGGACCAAGACCAAATCTGAATCTAGTGTTTGTTTGTTTAATCAGTTTCAGCTCATCTTTCTCTCTCTCTCTCTCTCTCTCTCTCTCTCTCTCTCTCTCTCTCTCTCTCTCTCTCTCTCTCCCTCTCTCTCCTCCACCCTCTGTAGTTACCAGTTTGCAGTGATATTGCTGATCTACGTCTTCCCTCTGCTGGTGATGCTGGTGACCTACAGTTTGGTCGGCCAAACGCTGTGGGGCGGACACATCCCAGGAGAGGCGACAGAGCATTACCACAGCCAGATCACAGCCAAGAGAAAGGTCAACACAACACATTTCCCTCTGCTGTTTGAAACTAAGACTCTGCTCCTTTAATTTGTCTCTTTGATAAAAATGCTCAGACAAGCTGGAATACATTTAGCTGAGCAGAGGAATATGATTTTAAAATGAGATGATATTTAAACAAATGGCTGAAAATGAAAATACGTTTGATTCTCTATAGGTGGTGAAGATGATGGTTGTCGTGGTGGTGACCTTTGCCCTCTGCTGGCTGCCCTACCACATCTACTTCATTCTGGGATCATTCAACAGAGACATTTATAAACAACATTACATTCAGCAGGTCAGCAGTGTTCCCTCTGCTTTTTATCCACTCCTTATTATCAGTGTTGTCTTTTTACTGGGCTTCGTGTCTCCTCTCCTCTTCAGGTGTACCTGGCCATATTCTGGTTGGCGATGAGTTCCACCATGTACAATCCCATCATTTACTGCTGTCTAAACCAAAGGTAAAAAAAATTCCACACCTCATGCCCAAAACAGGAAGCAGAAAAAAACAACTCTGCCGTCTTTCTGCAGGTTTCGTGCTGGTTTCCGTCACGCCTTTGTATGGTGTCCCTTCATCAAAGTGTCGGAGGAGGACAAGATGGAGCTGCAGCACACACACACCTTCAGAGTCACCATGACACGCAGCCACCGCAACGACGCCTCGTACACACGCACCTCCATCAAGACAAACGTCCTCGACTCAGACATGAAAACTGAGCTGAACCCTAACCCCAAATGCACGTCAGCCCACAACCCACACAGGGTTAAGAGTCTTGATGACCCAAAATCAGCAGCTGCCAAACTGATGGAGCACAAGCACTGAAGTCATGATGAGGACAGTGTTAGTGGGAAGACAACAGGGTTCTTCTGCAGCTCAAACAGAGCTGAGCTACACAAAGAGGCGACCGACAGCCAATCAGAGCCGTTCAACTGTCATCCACCTGGACAGGAAGGATATGTTACTTATCTACATGACCTGGGACTATAAACATGTTTTTGTTTCAGAGATAAACGACTGTATGTGATTTAGAAGTGGTCATATGAACATGTGACAATACATCCGCACACTGAAGAATAAGAACATCTGATTCTGGCATTGTTGGTATTTGCTGCAAGTGGGGAAGTCTGTAGATATATCCATCCATCTTTCAATTCTTTTTTTTACATCTCCCAAACTCCATCTGCTAAATCCTTCTGTCACTGTTGCTTTTCTTCTTCTCTCTCTCTTAAACTATGATGTTTTAGTGTAAGTGTAGAGTTTTTTTAATGTCTGGCATTAATGTAGTTACTTTTCTATGTTTTTCTGTCTTTGGGCTGCCACTGAACACACAACTGTATTTTCCATTTATTTCCTTTTCATCTCCAGTCGTCCTACACAAAGTGATGATTAAATGAATTCACTGGTTACTTACTTAAATGAAAAAAACTTAAAATTCTCTCTAACTGTCCAGTACGTCTTTGAAATCTCCGTCACGTCGTCTGCAGTCATGAAGTACACCGCTCGCATGTTGTGATTTCACTGGTGCATACATCTGTGATATTTCTCAGTCAGTGTAGAGTCCTGATTAAATGTTCAAAGTGCTGCTACTGAATCTGATGTGAAATGTAACATTGACATCTACTGAGTAATATATTATGTGAAATATGCTGATGAAGTGCAAATGTAAATATATGCAATTGGTGTGATGGTTGCACATTTACAGTCAGGTCATTATGTAAATAAAATACAAATATAAAGTCAGTGTTTCAGTGCGAACATGTCAGATTGTAATAAAAACCTTTAAATTCCTTTTAACAACTTTTAAAACAGTGACAATGTGAAAGGTCTTGATTCAACGTGAAAATATATTATGTGTGTAATAAATGTGAAGATGGAATTAACATTGCAATGCTGTGAACACCAAAATACTTTCTGTACCCAGGAGAGATCTCATTAGAGTTTTGTCGTTTACCACATGACTGCTCAAATTTAAACTGTGGTGATACTCATTTTGTTAATGCCGGTGGCCTCCAGCTACAGAAGCATCAGGGGTCTGTTAGACTTGTTTTAGGTTTCACAGCTTTAGAGCTGGAGCAGTTTTATCAACAACACGTCAGACTAATGATTACAGACGTGAGGGCTGGAGCTTATGTTCATCTTACCTCCACCAAGAAGGCTGTGTTTTTGTCTGCGTTTTCTCTGTTGTTAGCAAAAATGTCCTTGACTTAAAGAGACACCACCCAAAGTCAAACAAATGTTCTATGGGGATCCAGATCAGCAGGCAGGTCCAGGATGCAAATGTTCCATTTTCTTTCAAAGTTAGTTTTTTAGAATTTTCATTCATGGCTCTTGATGAAAATGACCAGACATCTTTAGGGGACTGATATATGAGTGTGTGCAATGTGGTTTCACAAGAAGACTGTTAGACCTTGGCGGAGTTATGCATTATACTAGAGCCATTCTCGTTGACTATACAAACACCATCACCAAACATAATGCATATATATAAGAGAGCGGATTCTCTGGTGCAAAGAACGACCACGTCAGTTTGACACAGGTTTGTTTTTATTAACGACTGGTCCACTGACAGTGTTGGACAGTTAGTCTGGGTTTTGTGAACAGAGGCAAAGAGATTTAAATGTGTGTGTGTGTGTGTGTGTGTGTGTGTGTGTGTGAAGGCAGAGTAGCTCAGAACCTGCCGAAGAGGCTGACCTTATCTAATATCTAAAAAGTACATTCAAATTGAACTAGCTTGCAGTTCTATTGCTTTAATGTATTTTAGTAAGCATTAGCTTCAGGTTGAACTGGTACGAACTTTCCCCACGAGCCAGACTTTGAACCGTAGTCCGGAGTATCATTATGTGAGATAAAAAAACAAACAACCAGCCTACACTAAAAATCAAATGAGCTCATTTCTCAAAGAGCATCATACGTAGCAGTAATATATCGGATTAATTACTTTTATTAAAGAAATAAATATTGAATTTGTAAAAACTGTGCTACTTGAATGAGCCACAGTAGTTTCACTGACAAACCCTCCTGACTTGTAGGAGCATATGGCAAACAGGGAGTGAATGTAGGAAGGTGCTTTATTTCCAGAATGTTAAAATTCCCCTAAAAGTTTCAGCTTTGCAATGTTCTTGTTATTCACGGATTGGCCGTTGTTGTTCCTCTGGCATCCTTGTAAGCACCACGTTCCTGTTTAAATGGCTGGTGAGCCTCGCCGCGATGATGTGCCAGTACTTCTTAAAGCGAATGATCAACAGCTGTGATTAGTACCAACAACAACATTTCCACTTGGTAAAATACAAGAGGTCTTTGGACATATTTTACAGTAGAGTACATTAAAGAGGATTACTGCTTACAATTAGGACAAATGTGCACATTCAGCGAGTACGCAACATGGTTCCCCTTATTCTGCAAACATTTACAGGACAGGTACCGTCTGAGGGCGTTGGCAAGAGCAATGGCTTCCTTTGTGTGCATCATTATTGCAACAGTAACATTTTTCAACACATCCCAATATAAAAATAAAATAAATAGCAACAATGTATGTATAACATATTGTATTATATCTGGGTAAAGATATTCAAATCTTTAAAGCAAAAAATATTCCCTTTCATCTAATTACACATTTATATATCACCTCATATGCCTTTTACAGTGTGTGAGTGGCCGACAGCAGACACACGCTGGTGACTTTGGTCTAAAACAGTGTTTTTATATCCCTGCAGCAGCTGAACGTGTTGCAAGGATTTACGTTTTTTCTTTTTCTACTGCAGCTGTTGTGCTTGATGTATTACAACAGATATTGTTATCAGAAGTTATAAGAGGAATCCTCCAGATGGCGAAATAGGAGCATTACAGGAGTGTGCAAAGTCTTTTCTTTCTGCCCTACATGTTTTCTCAGGAGTTGAATGTGCATTTTATCAATGCAAGTTTAACCTCAGAAAACCTAAATCTTGAGAGTTTGTGTATTGTTACAATCAAAAACAACCTAACTACGACATAGTGCCCGACGCTCTGCTACTTTACACAGTGGAGAAAGCTATCTCCTTCTCGCTCTGACACGTGGACAGACTAAAGCAGCTACTGGAGCGTGATACATTGACTGGACTGGTTTGATTTGGGAGAGAAAAGGAGACAATGGGTGAGGGAAAGAGTTAAAGACAGTGGAGGTGTGGGGGGGAGGTAACAGTGAGACATGAAGAGATATTTTCTATTTGTTGTTCAGCTCTTCTCTCAGCCTGCAGCCCACGGCTGTGATGAGGGCAGCACCTTTCCCGCTTCCATCCTCAGACAGTAGGAAGTTGACGTTACACTGAGGAGCCAGTTCATTCACTGTCTGGTGCATGATCTGGGAAAAACTGGACAGAGACAAAATATTTGATGTGATGTTAGACAGAGAAACATCCATCTATCCATCAACCTTTGTGTGAGCTTGACATTGAGCGAGAGGTGGAATACACCCTGGACAAGTTGCCAGCGAATCACAGGGCAAACATATGGAGACAAACAACCATTCCCATTCAAACCTACGGTCAGTTTAGAGTCTCACATCAACATAACCCCAATCGGCCTGTCTGTAGGAGGAAGCCAGAGTACCCAGAGAAAACACAAACAGACATGGGGAGAACATGCAGACTTCACAAGAAAGACCACAACCAAACTGCAATGAGTGACACTGTATGGTTGGCCTGAATCGGTCTGCAGGTGGAGAAGCCAAAGCTGCAGAAATCTCACCTGAAGCGTGTTTGAAGGCAGGTGCCGGACAAACTGAGCTCTCTGGTCAGAATATAGGACTTCTGGTATAAACTGAGTCTTAGCTTCTTATGATCTTGCCATTGAATTACCCATTTCAATAACATTATTATGATAAATAATGTTTCATCAATGGAGCGTTTTTGCAGATTGCATAGAAACCAGGTTGAGTAGTTATGTATGAAATGACTTGTTTTCTACATGAACTACTTCACTGTTCATAACATGATCATGTGGCTTTTTATGGCTTGAGGTTTTTTATTTCCTAAAAATGAATCATGTGTTGCTTTAACTAACATGTAGTTCCATCAGCTTCACAAAGTAAAAAGCTAGAGAAGAAATCTGTCTCGCCTCTTTCAAGGAAGAACCTTTATCCATCCTTCAAATGTGAATGTACAAATGAAGACTAAATGCAAAGTGTTCAGATGTAAACCCATGTTGTTGTTTAAAGCCACACGGTAACAGACAACAAATTATTTGGTAGACTCAACAACAATAAATAAATAACATTTATCATGAGATACTAAGAAAGAAAAGAGTTGTGACAAGAACTTATGTTTGGCCATAGCTGTCAACAGCAGGTGGAGTCTGCCCTTCTTTGTATTTACTTTACAGTCCTGACATTCATTAAATATAGTTGTCATGCAAATAAGACGAATGTGTCATTAGCCGTAAGACCAATTGACCTGGTCATCATACATTATATCTTACCTTAAGATCTTGTGCAGTTTAGACGACAGTTCATATTTTTTGTAAGATGAGTTACTGATGAATTTGACTTACTGTGGGTGTAGTTTGTAGAGCGTCCCATCCACCCCTACAGTGATCTTGAGATGGTCCAGTCCTCGGTTCTCTCTGATCTTATCCACCACGGCCGCCACTCCTGCCCCGCACAGCTGAGCTGCACGATGAGACACTGCTCCACACACCTAAAGATAAATAACATTATCATTATGGCAACAGTTAACCAACCGTACATGCCACAGTTTACTGAGCCAGAACTCACTTTCACAAAAATAAATAGAACTCAAAAGGTCTTTCACAAAGCACACCTGATAACAGTGTATCGTGGGGCTCAGACTCTTTTACAGTGTTCATGAACCCATTTATACACTTAGTTACCATTTTATTTGCTACACCGAGCTCAGACTAACACAGTCTAGAAAAAGAGATCTGCAATTGAGTCTACATTCTCCCCAAACACCATGTATGGTGCAAAAATGGTCAAGAGATGGTGTTGATAACTGCAGCTGCTCTATTATCAAGTTGAGCATTGAGACTTGATTAACATGCATGCAATGTTTGGATTGGATTCAAATGTTTCTCGATATATTTTACCTCTTTGACGATGATGCTGTCATCACAGGAGCTGTCTAGTCCTAAGTGTTGCAGGATGGATCTGACCTGCAGCAATGCCA